GGTTGAACAGCGAGCACAGCGTTAATTTGTTTCCCCATGTTTTTCACATCAGCTGTGGGATGGGCACGCATGGAGTTACATATTAACAGCGATTGTGAGGGGAGGAAAAAAAAAACACCTGGTCTCCTTACATTCAGCCACTCTTTCATCATCTCCTCAATGAGGTGGTCTCAAAAGTCGCAGTTACAACACACATAGGGCGCACCGCACCATAGGGCGCACCGCACCATAGGGCGCACCGCACATTTTGAGGAAAAAAAAAGACGTCTAAGTGCGCCTTATAGTCGTGAAAATACGGTATGTATGTATGTATGTATGTATGTATGTATGTATGTATGTATGTATGTATGTATGTTCCTCGGTATTATACTAATTTTAGGGCTTTTTGATTAACCTATTAATCTGTAATTTATTTATGTTTTCCACTAAATGGATTATGTTTAGTTATTCTATTTTACTATTATTTTTATTATGCAGAAGCAGAGGACTTTGTTTGAGCTAATTTCCCAGTGTTTGATTTGTAAATCATAAAATATTAGATCTCACCGTTTCAAAAAAGAAATGGTTAGCTTCGATCCTCCCTCTGACCTCCAGGGACCTTGATGCCAGAAGACCTCTCTTCCTTAAGCTTCTAAACTGGGTATTAAGGCTGGAAGACTGCTTCCTCCAGGTGGTGTCTAACCCTTATGATGATTGTTGTCCTCTAAAAAAATCAGTTGTAGGAGAATCCTGGTCATGTTTGCCATTTTTGGTGTGAAAAGTTTTCAACTATACAGTCCAGTTAAATAAACGGAGATTGATGGATTTTACACAGTAGGCACTTTATTTACTTTGCAAAGTAAAGAAGAACAAGACATTCACATTGACATCATGATGGTCTGCCCTGTTCTGACTTAGAAATGTATTCCCTTGCTTTAAAGGCAGAGTCAAAACAATTACAGACACTTCGGTTAAAAAGTAAGATGTTATGAATACCTTGAGAAGGTGTCTGGTTTCAAACATTTTGTGGCTTTGCAAGGCAAACAAATAGCATACACCAATATATGAAAGAAGAAATGAATAGAAATCTAAAATTTCTGACCACACTTCAAAGGCTCGAATACTCGCGGCAGACTGGAGACGATGTGTTCTTTAACCAGCCTTTGGAAGCACTTCATCATGATGGGAGTCAGAGCGACAGGCCGCTAATCATTGAGGGAGGTGACCTGAGGCTTCTTTGGGACTGGAATAATGGAGGCAGACTGGAAGCATGCTGGCACTATGGATTGGTCCATCCAGGTCTTAAAGATGTCTGTGAGGACACCAGCCAGCTGATCTCTCCTTGAACACCCGCCCAGGTATGTTATCAGGCCCTGGGGCCTTCCTTGGGTTGACTCTCCTCAGAATTTTCCTCACTGTGTTTTATACCTTTCCCTAATCACATGAAC